TGAAAACGACGATTTTGTCGAAACTTCGGGCTAGTATCAAGGAGGAGTTCCATCGAACAACTTTTTGGCACAGTAGAGAGTTTAGTATCGAGCAGTACTCGTAGGGATAGGGGAGGGAACAAGGGAACAACTACTGCCGTACTTTAGTACGCAGTTTCTCTTCTAGTCAATACTGCCTCAACTATCGTTTGTGAACCCCACTACCCCATTACTTTCAATGGCGAAGGTTCCTAGAGGAACTCTCTAATAAAAATCGATGGCTGCAGTATGAAGTGACCGCATCGCAACAGCTCGCGGCCACTCTTGTCGATCTCATTTCATTCGAACTGTTCGATTAATGGTATCTTTTCCAGGAAGAACGCCTCGATAAGGCGATGAGCATCTACGAGAACGTACAACAAGCAGAGGTACGAGCTAATGAGAGCACCGTGTGGTACGAATACGGTTGTGTATAACCGTTGAGAACTCAAGACATTTGCCATTGCCTCATCTCCTCATTCACATATCCCTTACCATTCATTATATCCTCCGTCTCGTCTCAGAAATGTGGCACCACGATGCTCAACTTCTGAACTACCATTTCTCCTTTCAATGCCATCATTTTTTTTCTCTGTATGAATCGCCTTCAACGTGTATTTTACTCGTATTTTCAGTCATTCCGGTTTTCTCCGTATGTTCTACACCCTCCAATTTTTTTATTCCCCCATTTTGTTTCCTTTTCACTAGTTGACTGTTACCGTAAACACACAGTTGTCATTAGAAATCTATATAAATAGTTAATTATATGCTGTTTAGCAACATCATACACTATTTTAAATACATAATTGATATAATTTTCATTAACAGCACTTTGCAGTGAGTACAGCACAGTTAGTATAGCCAATACAATACGACATTTCATGTATATATTTTAATGTACATAGCTAAGAGATCGATGCACGGGGGTGACAGGATCACGGGGATTTCAAGAGAATGGTCATGGAAGCAATGCAACTGTAATTACAGAATATCACGAGTATATCAGTAGTGGACGACGGTTAGTGCAGCGGGTTAGACAAGGGGGTTTACGAAAGATCATCGGGAGAAAAAGGACTAGGAGAAGACCGTACAGATGGCAATTCACATCACTTGGCAAGTGCTTATTATCAACCGCACCCCGAACTCATTGATTCGCTACTTCGAGAAAAATATCACGCATCGCTTCAACACTCATACGATTCGGTTGAAGACTTCGACGCTGAATTGAGAAGCGCTCACGTCCTGCCTGTTGTCTGTCTGGCGTGATCGACAACGACCGCATCTTCACCATGGCACGTTTCTGAACGAGAATCGATAGATTTTAGCATGACTTAGTAACCTTCAATGGCCGTTGAGCTTGCAGAATGATGGGAGGCTAGGGACATTCTTCTAGTTTGCTAATCTCTCGACTTAGTTAACAGGAAACTAGTAATCTATACTTACTTGCTCCTGTTAACTAACTCGTCTCACCATGATAAATATAGGTAGTGCTACTGCAGAAGGGTACAGCATCGTTGTGTGAAGCACATGGGAAGGGGGGTGGTTTGTACTTGGCCGATGGAGAGAGGGGAGGTCATATTTGGTGGTCGTTATTGAGGGGGGGGGGGTCGTAGGCTTCGAGAGAAATTAGCCGTGCTGGGAAAAAATTTTTCCCGGTGTTCTCTTTTCATGATTTTCCCTGTTTCATGTGGAGTATATACCCTGAAAAAGTGGGAAATCGGTAGTTAGATGTTGCGTGAGGGAGGTCGTACTGACACCACCATTTCACACATTACGATGCTGTACCCTGACCGCATAGCCTTACAAAAGTCCACGTATTTACAAGGAGGCATCTGCAATAACAGGTGGGAAGCAGGAAATGCCCCACAAAGACCTGCAGACTCTGTGTCAAGGTATCTGGAAACAGCGTCAGAGTGGCTATTCGCGTTAGCCTTGACAGTTCTTGTCCTGTGTACCTACGTGGAAACCCCGACACGCTACCACTGTTTGTGGAAAACGGACCGACCCGGGACCAGGTCCAACCCCGCCCCCTCGACACGTTCCAGCATTCGCAGCGAAGAAGACCACACCAATATTTAGGGGCCCCTTAGGAGGCATCGACAATGGTCGACAAGAAACAGCAAACACCCCTAACAACCGAACCGCTCACATCGCACGTTGGAGATACTACTGCAAGAACAAGGATGCATTTCATAGCTAGAGGAGAAGGCAAGTCGTATCTGGAGTGGTAGATTTTCCACTGCTGACATTCTTCGTTCCGAACGTGTTTTCACTCCCCTAGCTAGCTGTACCGCCATTTTGCTATGACTTGAAAGGGGGTGGGGGAGAGAGAGGAGAGAAAAACCTTCACTGTACGTCTAACCTACTTGAAAAAGGGGTCGTATTATTAAAATGCTCTCAACAAAACGTGTCCTGAACAGAGCGCACGTAAAAGGAACATAGATGTGAACGGGAATTTTGTCATCTGTACTTCCACTGAGGGTGATCACTTCGTCAATGACGGCAACATTTGTTCGTGAGCCGCCAGACAAGGGAGTTTATAGGAGGGATCAATGCTGGAAAGTTAAGAAACCAACAGATCACCGCTATCAGTCTCCCACGATGATAAGATGGAGATAGAACTCTACGAGACAACTAGTTATTTAGTACACTTACAACCATTCCTGGTGGTGAACTCTTCGCACCGAAGTGAGATCGTGTGGATGTGAGCTCTACTTGGAGAGAACCATTACACTTCCAAATGGGATTAGAAAATACGACTAGGATTCCCCACATGTTACTCCACTCCCCAAAGGTACACCTCCGCTCAGTGTAGAGCATGATGCCAACTCTCGAAACTGTAGCAGGAACCAAAGGGAGCTGTTTCAGAATTCAACATGCAGTTCTCTGGATTTCCTACCGAGAAATTTCTTAACCCCAATTGCTTCACAGTAGAATTTTACCCCATTATAAGTGACAAAACACCAAAACAACGCAAAGCTTAGTCCGCGTTCATGCTTCCCGACCAGCACGATCTAGCGTCGCAATGTGGGGAGTCGCGCATCTGCAACGGACTATGCACCACCGCGAATCGCTGGACCGTATTAACGGTCTAGAGATATTCTATTGTGTGACTGAATCAGCAGTAGCAGAGGTGCTGCGACTAGCGTTGAAGAGCGGTCGGTCGCAGTCGCGAAATGTGAACGCGGCTGCGCCAGCTGCAAGTAAAAACAGTGGAAAGTGGAGAGTGAGGTCACCTTAATTGAATCCAGTAACATAGCTAATGCTTCAGAGGTAATCGACGCGATCTCCTCCAGTTTCATGCTATTTGCGCACAAGAATGACTGCAATGAGGTCTCCTCTCTGCGAAGTTCTTGCAGTTCAGACGCTAGGCTTGAGCAGCTCGACTCGGATACCTAAAAATTCTAAGAATTTTGAATGTCTTTCAAGGATCACAACCTGTCCACAACCTCTAGGAAGGGTTGGTATGCTTCCAACAGCGAAGCATCGCCTCCTCCTCTTGTATTCAGCTGTTGCTTCAGCCGCTTTACCGAAGCCGTCAACTCCTTCGATGCAGTCTCGATGTCGTCTAGTGTGATCGACCTTGAAAAAAAGGCGATTTCGAAACGATTCTGAGTGCTTCCCCATTCCAACAACGTGAGCCCTTTTAAACAAAGCGTAAGGGCAAAAATGAGGCGGGCAAACTGTACACTCACCTCCAAGAATCCTGGGCCTTGCCATGTGCGAGTCAAAGGGGTTCGCAGCTGCAGCCGTGTCACTTTCTCCGTTCAAAACAGCCGCACGGCTGGTCGCGGCGCCCAACTAAAGTCAATGGCCTATTGTCTGGTCTTCTCACTTCTGGCTCTTGCCTATCGACTAGACCTGTCCACGCTGCGATATTTCGGTATCGACACAAGTGTTGCACCTTCAGGGGAGGGGGGTGGGGCGCAAACCCTTCCGGCACGCAGGCACCATTGCCCCTCAGGCGTATTTTCGCGCGCTCCTAGCCAGTCCGTTATTTTCGCACAAGGGGAGAACCGTCCTCAGAGAGGTGGCTGCAGCTTCCCTTAAATTTTTGGGTAGCACGGGTAACGCATTCCAGTTACTCCCTTTTGTTTGCATTTCCCTGAATGGTCACCAACATCCGGGTCACGGTTTCAACTTTCCAGCTTGGTCTCGCTTTCACCATGGAGCAAGCGCGAACCCTTACCTGAGTGAGAGTCGATTTTTCAGAGTGCAAATATTAAGGAATTCCCAAGCCAACTAAAGAGCCAGAGTGAACAGTCAATTCCAGGCTCTCATTATTTATTAGGGTGCGTTCACACCTTGCCACATTGGATAGTCGAAAACTACGCAAAGAGCAAAGCATGCATATCGATCGGAGGAAATTAAAATTGTGGGTTACGCGAGAAAGCTCAGATACGTGTTGGTTCCCAATTCTCCAATTGGTCGAAAATCAGTACGTATCTTTCTCGCGGGTTTTCCAGATTGATACCAATGCATCCCTTTTCGGGGACTCATCGGATTCCATGAAGCACGGTGACAAACACATAGTTCTGAAGACAGGCTGTACACCCATCTACGTCGATCCCTGTCCTTACTGTGTGCGAAGTGAAGGTGTCCCCAGCTGCAGTACCTTGCCAAATTTACCGCTCAAAAATGTTTGGGAACGAGGTTTGAGAGTAGCGATACCCGGTACCGGCTCCATCTGCGCGTGCGTATCCTCCAAGGCGCAGCACTAATGACGATGCCAAGCAAGGTCCACACGCAATCAGCGGTAGAGAACAATCAGTGACAGGGTCCAGCAACTAGCACTTTTAGTGATTAGGCGTT